AAACAGCCTGGTATTGGTACAAGAACAGGCATATAGACCAATGGAATAGAATTGAGATTCCAGAAACAAAACCTTAATTTCTCAACCAACTCATCTTCGGCACAGCTTCCACCACCCACCACTGGGGAGACAAGAACTTATTCAGTAAACGGTGCTAGAAAACTGACTGACCACATGTAGAAGATTCAAACAAGACCCCTATCTATCCCCATACACAAAAATTAACTCTAAATGGATCAGAGACCTAAATGTAAAACCTTAAACCATAAGAACTTTAGAAAATCCAGGCCACACCCTTATGGAAGATGCATCCAATTCTTGAGCAAAACCCAAAATGCGCAGGCCATAAGAGATAAGATAGACAAGTGGGACTTCACTAAACTGACAAGCTTCTGCAAAGTCAAAGAAATCATTAAGAGAGCAGGGAAACAGCCCACAGACTGGGAAAAAGCATTTGCCAATTTCATGTCTGAAAGAGGCCTAACATCTAGGATCTACAAGGAACTCAAACGTGCTGAAAAGTAAGAAAACAAGCAACCCCATTACAAAGTGGGCAAAAGATATGAACAGAAACTTCTCAAAAGAAGACATATGAGCGCCCAACAGATACATGAAGAAATGTTCAACTTCACTAGTCATCAAGGAGATGCATATTACAACTACACTGAGATATCACCTAACTCCAGTCAGAATGGTCATCATCAATAACTCAAAAAATAACAGATGCTGGAGAGGATGTGGTGAAAACGGAACACTTCTACACTGTTGGTGGGAGTGTATAAACCACTACAGCCTCTGCGGAAATCAGTGTGGCGATTCCTAAAAGCTCTAAAAATCAACCTTCCATATGATCCTGCAATCCCCCCACTGGGAATATACCCTGAAGAACTCAAATCACTCTATAAAAAAGATACCTGAACACGTATGTTTATTGCAGCATTGTTCACAATAGCAAGATCATGGAACCAACAACCATGCTGTCCATCAAAAGAGGACTGGATTAAAAAAAATGTGGTACATATATATACAATGGAATATTACGCAGTCATAAAAAAGAACAAAATCATGAATTTCACAGCAACCTGGATGGAATTAGAGTTTATAATACTGAGTGATCTCTCATGGAAAAAAGATCTGAGTATCACATGTTCTCAGTCATTAGTGGACCTTGAACAACTACTGTAATACTATAAGAACAGGATTGACAGTGGTGGGAATCTGGGGGGGGCAGGGAGGGGAAGGGAGGTGGGATTAACGGTAGTCAGTATCTCTTTGGGGAAAGGGGGACACACATCATCAACAAGGGTACATGCACAATGAATATTTGTATACCAAACCCTTAACTGTACTCCACAATTTAAAAATAAAAAAGATATATAAAAATAAATAAAAAATAAAAATAAAATATCTTTGTTGCCTCTGGTTTGATCCCCAAAGCAGGGGTGCACCAGTACACAGACTAACTTGTGTTAGGGCATAAGCATATATATAAACAGACAGACACACACACACTCATACTGAAGGTTAGAAAAATGTATACATGTCAGTTGAAATGTTTATTTTATATATTTGTTTATCTGAATTTTCAATGACTTATGAGAAGACACCATATTATTTTTGGTGCTCAAAACATCTTTCTCTGGCATGACTGTGACATTCTCCTTCCCATGTTCTAGCTTCATTCTAATTTCACTATAGCAATTATCCAGTTGTATTATATTTATTTATCTTATTTTCCCACTAGATTAAAATATTTTTCAAGACATGAAATTTTGTCTTTGCAGTCCAGTGCATAGCATAGTTTGCTTTTCACTTGGTACTGAAGATTTGTTGAATGAATGATCTTTTTCTTGTTTAATAATTTTCTACTAGATGTAATACATAGTTGTATTAAAAAATAAGCTAAGTTTTTAGTACATAAGGGGTGAAGGAGTAAAATATTAGAATTATTAGAGATAAAGGAAGTATAAGAAAAAAGAAGATGAAAATAGGTAGAAAGAATAAATAATCTCTTATTTGAAGGACCAACCAACAAAGAAAATAATCTTTTACAACTTATAGGATTTTTGAAATTCCTCTGTTCAAAAATTCCTGTGGCTTAGGATGCTAAGCTTTTATTTTGGGCTGGCGGAACTGGTGGTGACCTTCTCATCCTAATGAGTGTTTTCTACCACCAATGGCAAGAGTTCCTTGAGTTATGTTGGCAAGGAATCTATCAGTCTGGATCAGGTCATTATAAAACTGTTACAACAGAAAGAAACACCAAAAACTCAGACTGCATTAAGAGTTATGTATTCAGTTTAGTTGTATACAAGTATTTATTGAGGTAGGCACTGTGGATGGAGGTAGGTATATAAAGATAAATAAGCCATGGACCTTGTCCTCACGCAACTCACAGTTTTATGGAAGAGACAGCTGTATATATAAACAACATGCATTGTATCAGTACATTTAATATCAAGGTGATATGAACTGAGAAGGGCTGAGAATATGAAGTGCCATCAGAGCTGACTTTTGTAGAAAGGCGAGAAAAATCTACAGATGACTAAGGTAAGAAAATGGCATTTTAGAGAAAGAGAGCAGCACATAAAAGAGAACACATGCTCAGAAAACCTGTACTCCGTTGTGCCTAGAGTCTAAGGTGTGAGGTGGGGGAAAGGGAGAAAGCTACTAACAGAGACTTAAAGTTAATGGATGTATACCAAGAAACTTGGTTAGTAAACCAGAGAAGGCCCTATTTTAGAAAGATCATCAGGAAAATGGTAAACTAGTATTATGAGACTAATATTGGCCCTTCATCAACACGGGCTTCAACTGCATGGGCTCACTTATATGGGAATTTTTTTTTCAAACAACTGCAGATGGAAAACAGTATTCATGGGATGCAAAAACCTGTGTATAAAGAGGGCTGCCTGTGGGACTTGAATATGTGTGGATTTTGATATGGGGGGAGGGGTCCTAGAACTAAGAATGTAAATGTAAGTCTAGATGATAAAAGCTTCAACAAAGAGGCTAAAGATGGATAAGAGATGACATCTGAAAGACATTTAGGAGCTAGAACTGATAGGACCTAGTGATTGCCTGGAGAGCTGCAGAGTACTCATGGTGCAGAGGCAAAGGAAGTCGGAGACGAGAGGGAGAAGAGAGGGTTCTGGCTTTTAGGTCTAGGTAGATGATGACATCAACCAAGACAGAGAAGATATTAGCTAAAAACTTTAACAAAGAAAGAAATATGCAAGGATTAGTTATAGAAAAAGAATAGCTTTTTAAAATTCAGAGGAAATTGTTTTTAAAAAAAACCCCTAAGAATTATATATTTAGCATGTTTTGGCTAATTATTAAAACATGCACGTGACTACAACTCATTTAAGTAGATAGACAAGACTTACCCTAGCCAAGAGCTCAAACTCTGGAGCAAAATTCTGGCAAGGTCCGCACCAAGGAGCATAGAAGTCAACCACCCAGTGATTTTTCCCTTGTAATATCTTTTCATCGAAAGTCTGAGGTGTTAGATCTATGGACACTTGAGGTAAAAATCTGTGGTGAGGGATCAAAATAATATTTCATTATACAAAACCAAAGCAAACATCTAAAATGTAATAACACTGCAAGTCTTTCTAAGTTAAAAATGACTGAAAAGAATGGCAGTGTAATAAAAGACAGCCATATCTTGGTAAATATAAGCCTTTACTAAGTAGTTTAAAATGCTACTGACATTAAAAGAAGGTAAATAGCTTTGACACTATAGACATTAAAACATTCTGATTACTCACCCTAGAGCCCAGATTCTTAGGGAATAAGCATCCCTATTCCAACCATTGTAACTACTGAAAGAAGAAAAAAATATGTTAGTTGTAGACAGGATTTTCTACTATAGGATATATTCAGAAAATAATCTTATTGTAGCAATTTAAAAAATGTTTTATTGACTGACTTAATCTAGCTTCTCTCTTCTCAGATATTACCTAGCTACAAATACAAATGCATTTTTCTCTAGTCTTGATATCTTTGTGCCCTAGACAGACCAGAATGTACAGCTGCCTGCTGAATATCTCCTGTAGACCCATGGGAATTGTAAAACTCAGAATGTCCGAGGCTTTAGTTTTTGGATCTTTGTTAAAGTTATTACTGTCTATCAAATTCCCACCCATTTTTAGTGACCCATGTCAAAAACGAATCCAAAAACGCAGGCTGTCATGATTTCCTCATAGCTGTCATCCTTTCCTCCCTTGAGATCCATGCCTCAGTTTTACTTCTTTAAAAACATTCCACTTTACATATGGGTTTACTACCTGAAACACCACATGATGTTGTGGAAACAGCGTAGTGCTGGGACAGATCAGGGCTCAAACTCCAGCTTCAAACCTTAGCAGCTGTGTGACTTGAGAAAGTATCTAAGGTCTGAGAACCACAGTTTACTTCTCTGTATTAGTAAGAAGGTAGTAATTCCTACTTCACAGAGCACATGTGAGGACTAGTGGAAATAATGTGAGAATAGAATCTAGTACAGCAGTTGAAAGCAAATAAGGACTTAACAAATGTTAGCTCCTTCCCTCCGTATCTTCTCAACTAGACTGTAAGCTTTATGAAAACTGTTCAATTCTCTTTCCATTTTCTAAAATGCTCATTAATATACTATCCTAAACATGGTAGACTCCCAATAAATACCTGGCGGGTTAACCTTTTATTTAGTTTGGATAAAAAATGTTAACTGCATAATTAAATGATTGTAATAAATGTCTTCAAATTTGAGAGAATACTTACTGATACTGATAAGCTTTATTTGATTTTTGGGGGTAAAATCTTATCTCAGGATATCTCCGAACATTTTCTTGGGCACAAAAAGAATGATACTGCTGGCAATCTACACTGCCCACATTGATCAGTCCAGTTAATGTCTATAAAAGCCAAAAGGGAGATAAGCATATTAAAGTGATTAGAATAAAATTACCTTCATGAATTTTTATATTTACAATAAAGAGTCACTGTGGAATATTCTATTATTTATCAGTGATTGCCACCAAATAAAAATGGATATAGGCTTAATATATAACAGACCATTTAATACCAATAAATTTGAAATCTAATTGTGTAGTTAAGAACTTATTATGATTATTGCAAATTCAACAATTGACTTTATTATATGGGGAAAATTACATATTTGCAAAATCCAAAGTGTCAGAAACCAAGAACTAATAAAAGTCTTTGCAATGACATTTCAAATAATTACTTTTTCCAACAGAGGTAAGTACTGCAGGTATCCTGACTCACACCTGAATTTAAAAGTTTTTTTGAAAAGAGAACAAAAATATACAATCTTAAATGTTAAGATACTAGAAATCACTTTAATTCTTAGGTTTATTTCTTAACTTAGAAATAAATGTGAAATATTAACACTTTGTACTCAGATGTCCCCTCTGAGGGGACATTGTAAATCCAGCAAACCACTTGAATATCCCCTTCTCAGGGAACATAAAGAGATTAGTTGGTGATTATACAGGACAAATTTATGCAAGTGCACATTTTAAAAAAATGTATGTTTCCATGAAGTTTTCCATTAAAAAACAATGAAAAACCTATGTCCCATTTGAAATGTGTCAAGTTTCGGATTGATCAGAAGTGGTTTTCAGGAATCACGGGTGTGTCCTTCCACATTGTCTTTGAACAACAGTCGGGATGATAAATTACATATTTATTTACGGAATGATAAATTACATATTTATTAATAAGGGAGAAAGAAAACGAGACTGCATTGTCTGCTTGAATAGAAAAACACCAGGTGGAAGATGTCCAACAAATTATTATTGCACAACATGTATCACTAAACCTGCAGTGCATGTCAGTGACTGTTTCATGTTACTACATGTTAAAAAATAAGATATACAATTTTGATTTTTTTGGACATAAATCAGTTCCTCAATGTCCCAAATTTCACTATAAGCCAAATATCATTACAATAAATAACTGGTTCTTACACTATACTATTTAATATGAAGTAATTTGTTTTTTACTATTTTGAAAAAAGTGCTGTAAAGTTGCTGGTAGGTGATCCATGAGACACCTGAGTGCAAAGGGTTAATTATAGTTTCCATTATGGCATTTAAATAATTTGTTTCCAATCTTTCATGATTTAAAATACAATGCCTATCTGAAGGAAATTTTCAAAATACAAATGTTCTACTGCTCAAGGTTATTTTTTTCTTACTTTAAATCCCAAAATACTGTGAGAAAATGGTATTTTTAAGCTCTAAAAACAAAGCAGTAGAAAGAAATTTAAATAGAAAATTAAGAGAATCTCTGGGCTATTGTTGCCAAAAATTTAGTCAAGCATTTACCAGATGTCACACAGAAAAAAAGGTGCACTATTCTATACTATTTATATGCCAGACCGACACAGAGTTAGAATTCAAAGTCCTATGATCATAACTGTTTTTAAGTAACAATCTAGTTGTGGGTTCATTCCTCTTAGTTTCAAAATAATTCTGTTAAACATTCTTAGTAAATGTTAAAATCTAAAACATTTTTACTATACCCGGGCCATTCTTTTCCATTCTGGCATTAAGACTTGACATGGATGACACCATGGAGAATAGAAATCAACCATCCAGATTTCATTGTGTTTTCTTTGAGTAACTAGCTCGTTGAAAGTGGTAGGTGTAAGGGAGACCACTGAAGGATTCATAAGATCCTAAAGAGAATATAGTTTCTATTATATATGAATAAAAAGAGTTGTTCACATATTCTTGTCAAACTTTTGGTACAGACTGAGTATCCCTTATCCAAAATGCTTGTGATAAGATGTTTACTGGAGTTCAGATTCTGGAATATTTGCATACGTATATCTTGGGGATGGAACACAAGTCTAAACATGAAATTCATTTATATTTCATATACACCTTATATACACAGCTTGAAAGTAATTTTAAGAACTTATATGTAAAATTTTCCATGAACGGTGCTATGTCAACACCGTTTTGGATTTTTGGGGCATTTCAGATTTCTGGATTAGGGATGCTCAATGGGTATACGTCCTTTAGAAAGTTCCTGTTTTTGAGAAATCAAAAAATGCTTCAAGGTATTTGCAGGAAACCTAAAAATAGTTATTTTTTAAAAATAAAAATGCTCCCACATTGATTGCTTAAGTTTGGATTTGCTCAACGGTTTTCTAAAATCAATATCTATTTTTCCCTTATCTCTATGTATCACTAAAATCACCATAGGCACAGAAAAGATGTAACTTTAAGGTTCAGAGTACATGATGCAAGAGTTTCAAAGCTGCCTGGATGTCTCCAGAGGTCATATGGATTCTGTCCTAGAACTAGGAATCATTGGTTTGGAAATGATCCTTTAATTATGAATAGAAAGATTTCTGTCTCATTTTTCTGACATTCTGACTGAAGATACTGCCTAATCTCTCTACAGATCACCTTGTCCCAAACGATGTTTTAACAAAGTTTCACCTATAACAATCAGGTAATACTAATGAAAAGGTTAGACTCACTGGGAAAACAATCAAGAGCAAACACAAAACATTCCTTTGGAGGAGGAAGGATAGTCATGTAGGAAGAGTAGGATGGTCATTAAATGGACAATAATAAGCAATTATTTTTCATTTCCTTCTTAGGAGGTTCCTGTAAATAGTTTAATCAATCAAAACTATTCCTAAGGATAAAAAGGAGATGCTGTAGATGCAGGGCACTTTTGTTGTCAGAGAAAACAGGGAAAGGGGAATGGCAAAGTTTTAAGTGAAAGTATAACTGCATATATTCAATAAATAGTTGTGTCCATTATGTACAAGGCACTATACCAGATAACAAACAAAACACAGACTTATTCTTAGAGCTTATAGACAAATATATAAAGAGAATAAAACATTAGAAAAATTTTTAAAAATCATTTTCTTGTCAGAAAATAGTTTTGGCATGAAAACAATTCTATTAAGCATTTTTAAACATTCACACAGAGTGTAAATATAAACAAAAGGATTTCTAGCCACAGTTTATAATTGGAAATACCTCTATGAACTCCAAGATCTGCTCAGCAGAGTGATGTCCTTCGTATTCATGAATATTGGACTGGTTGAATACCACTGTTGTAGGATAAGCCTGAATGTTATACTGTTAGAAAGAATGCAAATTACACAAAGATTATATATATTTTAACCTGCTTGTTACAAATTTATAACCAGCTTGCCTGTAAGTAACAAGAATAGGATTTTTAAAACCTATTGCTAAATTGCTGGCGATGGAAAAAGTTTAGACTAGCCAAATTTAGCAAAGGAATAGATCCATGGTGATGAATACTGGTGAATACCTGACCCTTATATATTTCATTAGTCATGAAAACCATAGGCATCAAAACATTGAGCAGTGAGCGAGCGTAATTACATGCTTGGTCTCTCCTTACTCTCTAGAACCAAGGTAAGAAGGTTCTCTAAGAACATTCTCTATCTCTAGCTTGAATCTTTTAAATACCATTATAAATAATTTTTCTAGATGTACATAATAAATGGAATAAAACAGCAAGAATAAGGAGATGAATAATGTGTACACAATTATATTTTAAGTTAAAGAACTATGAATCATGTCTTAAGAATGTGGTCACTTTATAGTCTTTACTCAAGATGGCCTTTATAGCACAAAATGCTTAATTTTCTCCTCAGAATTATGGGCACCAGCTCGTGAAGCATCTCTTTAAAGCTTTTATTTTTATCTTTAAAAAAATTTGCAAAGAAATCCCTGTCTGTGGATTTGCCATAGCTAAACCTTGCATCCTTAACACTGATAAGCATTCATTAACAAATTGAAATCTTTGAGTAGGATTCAAAGCTAATTTTAAAAAAACAAGAGACATTTATTAAAGTTTTGAAAAATGCGTACAAGTTCAAACAATTCATCAGATTAATAATGCAATTATAGCAAAAACGTAACAAGCGCTTACTATGTGTTGAACGCTAGCACTTATCGTGTAGTTTCTCATTTATTTCTCACAATAATTCTATTCAATAGCTAAAATTACAAAACCCACTTTATAGATGAGGACACTTACTGGGAGGCTAAATGACTTGGTCAAGTTCATCTAATTGGTGAATGACAACTAATTGGTGATTGGTAAACCCTGCCCTCTATTCCAGGTGAACCTGATATCATAGTTTTAAACCCTTACACTGTACTCACTTTTAGATTTAATTAATTGGGATAAAAAAGTAGAAAAGCCACAGGAATTCAGATTAAGACAATTAGTTTATCACATTAATTTTGTACACTTGGCTGGCATTTCTTTCCAAAGTTACATATAGGACATATAAAACAAAAGCCTTATTTCCTTTTTCAAAAACTTAATGAGCTGGCCTCAGTGGCTCAGCCTGTAATCCCGCGCCTTTGGGAGGCTGAGGTGAGTGGATTGCCTGAGCCCGCGGGTTCGAGACCCGCCTGGGCAGCGAGACCTCATCTCTACAATAAATCAAAAAATCAGCCGGGAGTGGTAGCGCATGCCTGTAATTCCGGCTACTTGGAAGGCTGAGGCTGAAGGATCGCCGGAGCCCAGCAGGAGCAGGTCGAGGCTGCGGTGGCCGGGAGCGGCCACTGCACTCCAGTCTGGGCGACAGAGTGAGACTCCAACTCAAAAAACAAACAAACAAACAAACAAACAAAAAAACTTAATGAAATGTCATACATACTGAAGAGAGAATAATCTACCAAATACCTACTTTATCCCTCCCCTATATTTAACAGAGATTAACTTTTGGCCATACTGGACAATTGTTGACATTTTCTTCCTTGATCCCATTTCCTTTCCTCCCCTAAAATAGGGTCAAATATTATCCTGAAATTAGTATATATCCAATCCAGCGATGTTTTTATACTTTTGCTGCATGCATATGTATCCCTAAGCAGTATATTTTGAGATTTCAAAAACTTTCCTTAATTTTATCATACTTTGTATATGCTATTTGTAATCTGCTTTTTTCATTTTATGTTATATTTTTGAGATTTATCCATGCTGGTAGACATAGCTATTAATTTTCTATGGTATTTCATTGTGTGACTGGACAATTTATCCATATGCTTGTGACTGTCACATTTTTATTTTAAAGCAAATTCCAGATGACCTACCATTTCATCCATAAATATTTCAGTAGACTTAAAATGTAAAGGCTCTCCCCCCAGTATAATAAACACAGTATCATTTTCACAATGAAAAACTACAATAATTCCTTGAAATCATCAAGTATGGTGACAGTGTTCACATTTCCCCAATTTTCTCTTCTTGCACTTGGTTTGTTTGAATTGCATTTAGGCCTTCCAAATAAGGCCTAAACATGGCATTTGACTGACATATCTTTTAAGTCTCTTTAGTCTCTCCTCGCCTGCCCCTTTCAATGCATCTGTCGAATAAACTGGGTGTTTGTCCTGTAAAGTTCTCTGCATGCTAGGATTTGCAGATTGCATGCCCATGAACTCACTAAACATGCTCCTTTGTCACTGGATTTCCTACACAGTAATAGATCTGGAGGCTTGATCTACTTTAGAATATGGGTTTTTTTTTTTTTTTTTTGCTAAGTATACTTTATAGGTGGTACTATATACTTCTTTCACAAGGTACATAATTTTGATAATTTTGAGTTCTTCCTGTAACTGAAGACTGAATATTTATTTAATAAAATATTTTCATGTAAACAAAGATTTCAAAAAGCTTTCTCATTGTTTTCATTTCCTTCTATTAAATATACTTAGAAGACAAGTATAAGGAAAACCAAAGAATAAAAATTAGACTCTCAGAAGGCAACACTGAGACAAAGAAGTAAGATCTTAAATAGTTGGCAAATCATATAAGCAGTTGATCAAGTCAAATAAATATTGCCTGAGTTTGATAAATAACACTTTATTTACATTCAACCACAGACTATCATTCATGATTTAATCCAACACTTTGATATCATTTTGTTGCAGTTACTTGCTTAATTTGTTACTACTCTAAATGGAAGATATATATATTCTAAAAAGTTATTGTTTTACCATTAAACTAGACTGCCAAAAGGTCTCCATTTTATAAAATCATTAATTAGAATAAATTTTTTATCCTTTGCCTTACCATGTTACAGAGACCCTCATGAACTGTACAATCTAGTGTACCAAACTTCAGCTGACCATACAGAAGATTTGATGCTCTTCGTAACTCTGGTAGTAAAGCGCGACATGGTGGACACCACTAGGAAAGAAAGATTTATTCATAAGCACTGAGCCAAAATAAACCAAAAACCCCATCAGTTTTGCAACAAAAAGTAAGACAAGCTGTATTTAGTGCAAGTCTTATTGTTATATACTTAATCCCTGGGGTGGGGGTAATCATGTCACACCACTTAGAAGCAATACGCAACAGTGAACATAACTGAATAACACGGTTCTAGTACTAATGGTTCAAGGTTATCTAGAAAATGTCTTTTTGCCATGACAAGAGAAAATTTGACATATTAAAATCTGACAGATAAAATAACTTACAGGGGCAAAAAAATCAACAAGCCATGGTTCTTTGTTATTGGCAGGAAAATTTTGAGGTCCAAGTGTAGTAACATGAGAATTAACACTTTCTTTGGCAAAGGCAAGTATATCATACAGAATCTTCTTTCCTTTGAAAGTAAAAGAAAAATTAAAATCCACATTCTGCCTTTTGTATCTATAGAAACATTTCAAGGTTTTTATACTCAAAATATTAATGAACTTATGGACAAACTGATTGTGGTTGAGTGTTCTGTATATCATACACAGGTTTGCTCTGCCAAGAATATCCATTTCCTTGTGTATGCTCTTCTGTTTCTTGGACTAGTTAAAATGTCAAGATCTCTTTGAAATTCTTCTGCATCCTCAGAGGTAGAGGATGAACACTTCTTTATAGTGTTCTTTATGCTTATCAGCTCTGACGATGGTCTAACTCCTAAATCTTTTTATTCAACGTAAGTCTTTCTTAGGAATTCAAAACCCTTATTACCAGCTGCTCAGTGAAAAGTTGTATTTAGATATCCCATAAACCCATCAAATGTAATACTCATGTACCACATAATGATGTTTGGTCAGTCACAGACTGCACAATGAAGGTGATTCCATGAGATTATAATGGTGCTGAAAAATTCCAATTTGTAATTATGTCATTGTTATTGTAATGTTGTAGCACAAGACATTACTTTTTCTATATTTAGGTATGTTTAGATACACAAATACTTACTATTGTATTACAACTGTCTATAATATTCAGTACAGTAACATGCTTATATAGGTTGGTGGCCTATGAACAACAGCCTAGGTGTGTGGTAGGCTACACTATCTAGGTTGGTGTAATACTCTGTGATGGTCACACAATGACAAAATTACCTAAAGATATATTTCTCAGAATGTATTCCAATCATTAAGTGACATGTGATGTATATCCAAATTAAACCTGTATTTTTCCCCCAAATTTACTCTTTTTCTCACCATCCCTATCTTAGCAATAGCACAGTCATCCATTAGGTGCCTAAATATGGCTCCTCAGAATGATCCTTGCCTTCTTTGTCTGTCCAGGTATCATAATAATTCTACCCATTCTATCTCTTAACCCTCTCCAATCCCACTACTACCACGTGAATTCGGTCTGGCTCACTGGAATAACCTAGCTGGTGCTTCTTTTCCCTGCTTTCCTTAACTAATCCATTTTCTACACTGCTACCGCAGTCCACTTACAATGAATGGTACAATTTCTCATTTGTCAATTCGTTAAGTCAGAAGCATGGGTATTATTCTTGACTCTTCCCTTTTGTCCCCCCACATCTCAACATTCACTGAATTATTCTGTATTCCTGGCCTTTTAAAAATCTGACTACTTTATCCATATTACTGTGATTCCATTAAGGCAGCCGTCTTCTCTTAATCAATGACTGTATTAGACTTCTGCCTATTTCAATCTTGCTTCCATCCATTCTAGGCTGCTAGTTACCTTTCTAAAATGTAAAACTAGTTAAAAATTCTATCTCTGCTTAAATCCATGGATGTCTCTGTGCTGCCCTCAGGATAAAGTCAGAATTCCTTCACTTGGCAGATTAGACATATAATTTGGACCCTTGCTGCCCAGCCTCAAGTTTCATTCCTTTCCCAACACTCTACATTCCAGCTACCCTGAAATTCTTGTCTAACATCAATGAGGCACATTCTCTTACCTTAGTGCAAGAATACATCGGCTGGTTCCTGTGTTTAGAATGTGTTTACATTTGGGTAAATGTTACTTATACTTCAGATTTCAACACAGGTACTGATTTCTCAAACTCCAGGAGACTGTTCCTTCCAAGTTTCTCCCTAGGAGCAACCCATGCTCATACCTTGTGGTAGCTAGTTTCTAAGATAGCCCCCAATGATTCCTACCTCATTGCTCATACCATTGTTGTTATACCAGGGTTGGTGTATGTGAGCAACAGAATATGGGGAAATGACTGTCTTGTCTGAGATCAGGTTATAAAAGACATGTTGCTTCTGTCTTGGTCTCTCTCTCTCTCTCAGGGTACTCGTTCTGTTCTGGGAGTCACTAGCTACTATATTGTGAGCAGCCCTATAAGAGACCCCTGTGGTGTGGAACAGAAGTCTCCTGCCGTGTGAGGCCTTATGTCTATCCTATGAGTCAGCCTGGAACCAAATCCTGTAGCCACAGTCTAGCCTTCAGATGACCAGAGCCCTTGCGTACTTTGACTACAATCTCATGAGAAAACTTGAGTCCAGAATCACCCAGCTAACAAACTGTTCCCAGATTCATGACTGTGTGAATTAATAAATGTCAACTGTTTTAAGTTGCTAAGTTTTGAGGTAACATAGTACTCAACAATAGATGACTAATACTCCCCATTCAAGCATTTTTTAAAAAGTACAAATATACTTGTCTGTTTTCCCTATTGGTCCCTAATGTTCTTTGAAGTAGAGATTAAGTATAGTTCACATTTTTTCCTATTCCACAGTGGTATACGTGGCACATGGAGATGCTCAATACCTACTTAAACCCAAGGAAACAATGTTAAGCTACATAATAAAGTTAGTAAAAACATATAAAAGAAAGTGCTTTAAGTTGGATTTTAACAGGTGATTTGGAGTTTGCTAAATATTCTGAAGAGCAAAAGGGAGTGATTACAATGCAGGAAAAAAAAAGTGAAGGCATAGAGGAGTGAAAGAACATAGCATTTTCAAGAATTCAAAAGTAGCTGTGAAACCAAGACTATATGGAAACACTATTTAGAGTGGTGGGAGATAAGGCTGGAAAAACTGGCACAGGCAGATCATGAATACACCTTGTTCACTTACAAAGCACCATTCTAGGTGCTAAAGACAGGGCAATGAGCAAAACATAGTCACTGTTCTTGCTAAGGAATCGAAAGTTTATTCTACAAGATGTCAGGAATTGCTGGGCTCGGTGGCTCAGCTTGTAATCCCGCACCTTTGGGAGGCTGAGGTGAGTGGATTGCCTGAGCCCGCAGGTTCGAGACCTGCCTGGGTAGCGAGACCTCATCTCTACAATAAATCAAAAAATCAGCCGGGCGTGGTAGCGCGCGCCTGTAACTCCGGCTACTCGGAAGGCTGAGGCGGAAGGGTCACCGGAGCCCAGCAGGTCGAGGCTGCGGTGGCTGGGAGCGGCCACTGCACTCCAGTCTGGGTGACAGAGTGAGACTCCAACTCAAAAAAAAAAAAAAAGATATCAGGAATTAAGGCAGAAAAGTGATATGAGAACAGGTCATAACTACAAACAAAATGAGGAAGCAACTATAAAGAGGAAAGGCCAGCAGATGTGCAATCCTCTAGGAGGATGACAAAGGGATCTGAGAAATATTTAGATGTAGAAAGAATATATCTCCATTGTTAAAATGTGGTCATGATTAAAGTTTGGTCACTTTTAGGGCATGGCATAGTTTAGTGGCTATAAGCCTAGGTTTTGAAGTCAGACATTGATGAATTAAAAATCTGCCTAACTCAGTTTGCAGTTGTCTGTCATGGGGCAAGTTACTTAGCCTGAGACTCAGGTTTCTCCTTTACTGGGTTGTGGTGAAAATAAAAATGGATTATGTATATAGGACATTTAGCAAAATGTCTGACTTATAGAAAGTACTGAACAAACAGTGGTTGTTAAGGTTATCTTGCCAAGCCTTTGCTTAAATGGTTCCTCCAGCAGAGAGGCCCCACTTCTTTTCCCACTATATTTGCTTTGGGATATAAAGTATTTTGTGCTCAATTCAAATGTCACCTCCTGACCTATACTATGCAGACTCTTTATTTGATCTTACTGTAATTTACACATAATGGCCATTGAAAGATCTTTCATATTTTCTTATGGCTCTCCTTCCTCCTGTCTCTATTACACTGTATTTTAAACTTCTTGAGAGTTCACGTCTCACGATTTTGTATCTCTAACACCTAAAGCAGTGCTTGTCACCTAATAGGCATTTCACTAGGTTCTGTCACTCACTTCACTGTATTATAGTTGGTAGTTTATGTGTCTCTTTTGCTATATTTGATTACTTTCAGGATAGCAACTATTGTATATCCCAAACTCTTAAAATTAGGACTGAATGCAAAGCTAAAGTCCCAAGTAAACTGAAAAGTAGAAAGGCAACAAGGCAGTTAATAGAGAAGTTTGGAAGTTTAGTTGGGGGAAAATCCAAAAGGATGTCTGGAAATTGCCTGTAGTGGCTGAGAGGCTACACATGGCATCCTGGAATGAAACTTCTGCTAACAAGCAGGACTTAAATTCCCCACTAGCCCATGAATCACCAGAAACATTGGTCAAAATACTGAATAGAGAAAATAAATTTATTTTACAAATAAGGCTCAAGAGAATTAAACAGCTATATATAATTCAACGTCTTTCCTTATGTTTACTAATGAGAGCAAAGTTATTTGCCATAAGCATGTTCATACAAGACAAGTTGAAAAAAGCACAATTAAAACATTTCTATTTGAAAATGAAGCTTAATTTTTATCCTTTTATTCATTCTTACCATGGTGAATTTCATATTCTTTGGTTCCTTGTCCTTTAAATACTGCTAGAGACGGCTGAAAAACATAGAGATTACTACAGATGTCTGGTGCAGAGGAGCAGTCAAACCTGCCAACCTAGAGTAGAAAGAGAAGGATGAAATTGATAAAGATATACAATCTTACACATTCAAATGATAATCCAAAAATGACACTGCTCTAATGACATAGCTTTTAAACAGAAGTTAATGGGCTATAAAAATAAGATACAGAAATAATCCATTTACATCTAAGATTAAAAAAACTCAATTTACTTAAAAAAAAAAAAGAAAAAGAAAAAAGAAAAAGCTTCCTAGAGACTTTAAAAACCTGAGAGGAAATTTCCAAGAAAGTATGACATTATTTAAGAAGCCTAAAAAGGTAGAGGATGTATATATAATCCTGGGGTAAAGGAGAGATAACTCTTTAAATAAGACATAGGAAGCAGAAATAATAAAGATTGATGTTTTCATAGAGTAAAAGAGAACAGTATAAATAAAATAGGTAAATGATATAGAATAAAAAATCTGCAGCATTTAAAACGGAGGATCCATTAAGAAACAAGATGGGCAAACATCCTATCAGGAAAAAGAAAATGAGTCAGGGGTATGAGACAAACTAGAGAAGAATTGTGACTTGTTAATAATCATAAAACAAATCTTTCTCCAATCACTAGAATGCAAATAAATGATAGTGCATATTGTTAACATATTACTTTTGACCTATCAAAATAATGAAGATTATCAAGAAAAAGACAGCACCATGGTTGCCATAAGCATGGAGAAATGGCCACTCATATGTGTTGGTGAGATTATAAATTGATAAACTTTCTGGAAAACTCTAGTAATGAGGATAGAAAGTATTTGAGAAAATACATAATCTTAAGTCAAAAATTTCTTATACTAAGGGAATATAACTGGACAGGTCCTATATTATTTGATATAAAAATAATAAAAATGGCTTAGCCTTTAGAAAATGATGAGGATATATATATATAAACATATAGATTTTATATATAAAACATATATATATAATTTTTTTTCTCCACAGACCCAAGAAAAAGTTTATGGTATTGTTGAATAGAAAAGTTTAAAAAGAAAAAGAATATAGTAAATCCATTTTTATTAAAAAGTATACATATATTACATGTATATGTCTATTACAATGGCTATTATAATATATATGCATGTGTGCATATGTATGTATACCTACATACTCATACAGGCACTCACAAAATGTTTAAAAGGTTATACAGTAAATTCTTAGCAGAATTATCAACTGTATTGAGAGTGTGGGTGATTTTTTTAATAATTATTTTAATTCATTTTTGTGCTTATTTATATACCCTAAATTTTAATAATGAGTAAGAACTATTTACATAAAAATACAAGAATCTTAAAAAGGAAAAGATACTTTTACAGCATATATTCAAGAAAAATTATATGATACAGGTTTATTAGATGCCAAAAGAAATGAAAATGAACTACTTTCAGATTTCATATCAATTTTTAGTACACAAAAGGAAAATGAAAACACAAAGACCAAAAGCACTCATGGGCTTCTTAACTTAGAATTTCAGACAAATATTTTTATGTTATTTGAAATTTAATTATATGTATTAAGTTAACAAGAAAGCATACTAGCAGAAGGCTAGGCAGAATATATTTTTCTTACTTGAATATGATCATTTTTAAGTAGAGTTTTTAGTTTCTTCAACTCAGGATCATTTGAATTTGCATGTTTTCCAAAATGAAAAAATAAAAGCCACCGATGATGAGCCAAGCGATCCTTAAAAATGACAGGAAAAAAAAAGTCAGAGACGAAAAATTCTAAGGATTCTAATCTTTGTTTTTTTGCTTCCCTACGCATTACTTTAAAATACTGTCTAAAATTTAGACCCATTCATTCTTATTTTATAGTTTATTTAGAATAATGCATAAATTATTAGATTATAAATCAATTTTATAATGTTACAGGAGGGCAAATCACTAAATTAAAAAATCTTAAAGTAGATGGCTGTGTCAAAAAAATATGGTAAAGAGCTAAAATATAGCTAAAAAGTTGGAGAATATGAAAGTTAGCTTTTTCAGGTTTAACACAAGATATGGTAGCAACACAGACTTAGAAAGCCCTGTGATCAATAAGAAGAAAAAAAATTGATTCTAACACAAACTGAATATTTCTAAGCATTCTATTCATAAACTGAATGCTTTTTAATTCTCAGTGAACAATATAAACAGTGCTGTAAGCAAGAATGTAAGTTTCAAATCAGATCCAAAGTTGCTGAGCAATAAAATCTTACCTTTTCTAACATTCTTTTTGAAGCCCACTTTCAAGACCTAGTAGCTTTTCTACAACTACAGATCCACCCTGAACTAGCAACACCAGAACTACAATTAGAATTTAACTTAAAACTGACTAATATATAATCCTTTGAAACTGCTACTTTCAATTTTTTCTAGTGATGAATAAAACAAATGCTAATTTTAAAATGTTAAGATTTGGAATGTTAACAACAGTTATTGCTACTTATTAGCAAAAACATTACCTCTAGTGTGTTTGCTGAAAGAAGTTCAAAATCTGGAAGATTATGTATTATTTCCAAATATATTTCTTTAGCATCCAATGAATGAAGAAACTAGAAAAACAAACAAAAAAATCACATTGTAATCTTTTCAAATAAACATTTATTATATTTGCTGTCTTTTTTTTGGTTTCCAAAGGAGTACTTTTAAGAAAATAGTAATAGAAGTTAAACAGTTTTTCAAATGATTCCAAATGTATATTTTGGCAATTATTAAAAATATTATTTAACAGGGCTGTTTCTTAAAAATAGTGATGTATAATAAATTCCATTATTAGGTATTTCATTGACTGGCATTTTCTTTTTTTTTTTTTCTCTTTTGAGTTGGAGTTTCACTCTGTCGCCCAGACTGGAGTACAGTGGCCACTTCCGGCCACCGCAGCCTCGACCTGCTGGGCTCCGGTGATCCTTCTGCCTCAGCCTTCCAAGTAGCCGGAATTACAGGTGTGTGCTACCACGCCTGGCTGATTTTTTTATTTATTATAGAGATGAGGTCTCGCTGCCCAGGCGGGTCTCAAACCCGCAGGCTCAGGCAATCACTCACCTCAACCTCCCAAAGGCGCGGGATTACAGGCTGAGCCACTGAGCCTGGCTGGCATTTTCTATTAACTATGCTGTTTATTCCATGGAAATCCTCACAATAACCTGGAGTGACTTTTTAAATCATCAGGAAGAAAACCACAGTATGTTCAGTTTAATCTAATGCTAATCATGCTTTACAGAATGTCAATGCTTTACACATTCATTTAAAAATTTTTGCAAGCTGGGCTCGGTGGCTCAGCCTGTAATCCTGCGCCTTTGGGAGGTTGAGGTGAGTGATTGCCTGAGCCTGCGGGTTTGAGACCCGCCTGGGCAGCGAGACCTCATCTCTATAATAAATAAAAAAATCAGCCAGGCGTGGTAGCGCATGCCTCTAATTCCAGCTACTCGGAAGGCTGAGGAGGAAGGATCCCCGGAACCCAGCAGGTCGAGGCTGCGGTGGCCGGGAGCGGCCACTGCACTCCAGTCTGGGTGACAGAGTGAGACTCCAACTCAAAAAAAATAAATAAATAAAAATTTTTGCAATACTTGAATATCTGATGGTCTAAGATGCTTTATACCCCAACCAATAATTAACAATTAAGAAGAACTTATCAATAGAAAATTGGAATGAATTTTATTGCTCATTATAAAGGAATACAAAAATGATAACATCCAAAAACTGAACCACTTAAGAGTTTTTAGAGTAAAATATACTGACAACGATCTTATCTTAAACATGTTTCTTATTTAAAACACAAACAACTAAAAATGGCCCTTCTAACAAATCTCCTTTATTTCTGTCCATACCTTATCCTCAGCATATTTTTTTTCCCACAGCACCCTCCATGCAATGAAACTGGTGTTTTTACTGAGAATGCAGCAACTGTTTCATCAAGAAATTGTATATGAAGATTGACAAAACAGAGTTTAATATATATCTTTAATTAGGAGCCATCTACATTTAACAACTCAAATATTACCTGAAAGATCTAAAACTCCATTAAAAACTTGTAGGAACTACCACAGTATCTACAGGCTTAACAGTGGCAGACATGAGAACAAATCTATAAAAAATTATCTTAAACTTAAAAATATATACATATAGCATATTTTTAGATCTATGTGAAATAATTTCCACTGCCAAGGAGTTTAAAATGTCAAAACAAATCTTTCATGCTTCAGTTCTATAGCTTATACATTTTAGTCACATTATAAAAATTTTACCAAAAATACTCCTATGACAGCTTATATAAATGTGTAGGTGATTAATCTACTAGAACCTCATTATAAACATGTTTATCTTAGAGCAGAATTTGCCAGTTATACCTAAAAGGGATACTGTCCTGTCTAGCCTCTGAATTTCATCTTCTAGATGCATTTTAGCTGCCATAAAGTTTTATATTTTTAAAACTTGAGCCAGGCTCGGTGGCTCAGCCTGTAATCCCGCACCGTTGGGAGGCTGAGGTGAGTGGATTACCTGAGCCCGCGGGTTCGAGACCCACCTGGGCAACTTGGTGACACCTCATCTCTACACTAAATCAAAATGAGCCGGGCGTGGTAGTGCGTGCCTGTAGTTCCAGCTACTTGGAAGGATCGCCAGAGCCCAGCAGGTCGAGGCTGCGGTGACCAGGAGCGGCCACTGCACTCCAGTCTGGGTGACAGAGTGAGACTCCAACTCAAAAAAACAAAAACAAAACAAAACAAAACTTGAATGCTTTTAGGAGGGGCAATGATATTTAATTCATCACTTCCTGGGATTACGTTTCTGGTTTCACTCATTTCTGTTTCCTAAGACAGCATCTGAACTTGCAATTTTATATCACAAAGCACGGAGATTATGGTACTCAAAGCAAGAGGCCATATTAAGCATTGGCCAGGGTGTAGGCAATCCTTGTGAATTGAAGGCACAGTGTAAATTAGCACAACTTTTTGGGAGGACAGTCTGGCAATATGGATTGAATTTACAATGGTCACAGTTATCCGACTCTAAACAGATAACTGAAGAAATGTATAAAGATAAATATACAAGATTGCTCATTACAACACTATAACCATGAAAAAGAAATATCAAGAAAGAAATGATTAAAGTAAATGTCACTTTTAGTCAGTTGATTACTATTCAGAGACTGTTAATTACTAAAAGAATAATGTATAAACACTAATTTATAAAGTGTATTTTAAAAACATGTATACGTTATATTAATTGACAAGGAAACATGTATATATAATATATTAATTGACAAGGAAACTGAATGAAAAAATTAGATAATAAAACTGAACCTAGAATATTACCCCATTTATGAAAAATCACATATTTGTATCTATCCGTTTTATGTGTCTGCAAACATTTTAAAGATAGAACCATATATTTTCCTTATGAATTGGTTATAAGGTATGAGAAAAGGAGGAATCAAGAATGACTAATGTCCTAGGAAAAATACTGAACAGGATTTGGTGTTTATATATATATGTGTGTGTGGGTATGGATAATATATCTGGAGAGAAGGGCAGAGGTTTAAGCCACAGATAAAAACTAGGAAATTTTTGAGCCAATCATAATTGTGTGTAAGTAGAGATCAAGAAGGGTATTTACCAAGATTTGATGGTGGTTGTCTATTAGTGATTTGGTTTTAGATAACTTTGCATCTTTCTTTATATAATTATTTACTGTATATGAATTTCTGAAACAAGTATGTGTCATCTTCATCAACAGGAAAAAAAAACAAAACCCCCAAACAAAAAAATGAAAGGAGGTTTGTTTTTATCAGAGTCCTTTGTGTTCTTTTGAGATTCCCTAGGGACCTATTTGATAACCCACTGTTTACCTTAGTTCCTTGACAACTTGACAACTAGCTTGAACCTCCATTTCCTCATTCATAAACATAGGGAGGTAAACCACATCAGCAGATCTATAAACTGAGTTTACTTCAGAATCCCACAGATGCTTTAAAACAATATATACCTAGACTCTAGTCAAAACTACCACTGATTTATATTTTTTAATATTAGAAAATTCTTGTTTAACCTAAGAATGTATTAAATACTCTTAGGGTTTAAAAGTGTAATGGTTTTAAATATTATGCCAGTTTAAAAATGATCTTTTTAACATACTTTATAAAACTGAAGTATGTATTGAACAGAATCTCAGAAATTAAATATTTGTTCTAAATAAAATGTTTTAAAATCAGACTGTATAAACAGATTTCCTTGTCCCTGCTTACAAAATTATGTACAAAAGTTGCATGTGTATGGATTTATATGTAAAGATATTACTTTAAAGTGATTCATACCAAAATATCACTTTTCTCTTTGTTATTTAAAGTGGCTCCAGGAGGAAAATAAGCAGTAGTACTTGTTGTAATATCCAAACTTTTACAGAGGTTTTCCTGAGTGGCACAGTCCATCCATCCTACATTAACAAGACCATCCTAAAATGAAAAGAAACAAAAACAGGCCACATTTTAAATAGAAAAAAAAGTTAAAGGGATTTACCTTTATTTAGTTAAAAACAGTTTTTCTATTATAAAATTCACACTTTTAAAATCGTACTCAATAACTTGGGATAATGAATTGTAGTCTTTCCATAATATTAAAAATCTACTTTTTATAATTCTTTCTACAAATCTACAAAATCTACATTTACAATATTTTCTAGAAAGCAAGATGTTCAATAATCCCCCTCAGGTTTAAGAAACTCAAACAGACTATTGTTTAAGACTTTTTATTATGTCTACTCTTTCAAAAAATCATATAGTCTGTGTCTACAATGTGCATTTAAATGAATGCCTTCCCAGTTTTCACCTACTGTGGCTGAGCTCCTTTCAATAAGCTCCAAATCCAATATGAAAAGTACATTTCACAGACGTTCAAGTTATTAAAAAAATTTTTGAGCTGGATAAGTTGGTAAATAAAGAGAGGTCTAACATAACTGGAATCTTAGGAAGACAAGGGAGAAAGGAACAGAAATGCTAACTGAAATAACAGCTGAGAAGATCCACAATTGATGAAAGATATTAACCTACATTCAAGAATTCCAATAAATCTCAAGCATAGTAAGTAATAAATTCACACTTATGCATATCATAATGAAACTTCAGAAAATCAAAGAAAAAGTCAGAAAGAATAGATCTTGATCTAAGCAGTGTTAAATGAGAGCATACATATGTAGCACACATATGTAATTAAGTTGGTCTGGATGCTGTGGCTCATGCCTGTAATCCCAGTTCTTTGGGAGGCTACAGAGGGAGGATTGTTTAAGGTCAGGATTTGAGACCAGCCTGGGCAAAATAGCAAGGCTCTGTCTCTACAAAAAAAATAATTAGTTGAGTGTGGTGGTACATGCCTATAGGCCTATAGTGCTAGCTACTTGGAAGGCTGAAGCAATAGGACTGCTTGAGCCCAGGAGTTTGAGGCTGCAGTGAGCTATGATTATGCCACTGCATTACAGCCTGGGTGATAGAATGAGGTCCTGTCTTAAAAAAAAAAAAATGAAGTTACACACTTAAGATGTACTCACTTTATTGCATTTAAGACATAACTAAAAAAAGTTAAAGAGAAAATAATACAAGATTAAAAAATAAGATAGGAAATTCGCATACATAGGAAAAGAATTTTGTTTTAAGGCTCTTGCTTAGTTTGGAAATAAATAAGTCATAATGTTATAATTTCTAGGGTATCACTAAAAGAACAATAAAAGGGTAGGTAACTAAACTAAAGAGCCAACAGAGAGGGGAGTGGGATTTTATTTTATTTTGAGTTGGAGTGTCACTCTGTCACCCAGGGTGGAGTGCAGTGGCACACTCACGGCCACCCCAGCATTGACTTGCTGGGCTCTGGCGACCCTTCCGCCTCAGCCTTCCAAGTAGCTGGAACTATAGATGCGTGCTACCATGCCCAGCTAATTTGCTATTTATTTTAGAGATAAGGTCTCGCCAAGTTGCCCAGAATGGTCTCAAACCTGCAGGCTTAGTCAATCCACTTGCCTCAGCTTCCCAGAGTGCTGGTATTACAGGCTGAGCCACCAAGCCCAGCTGAGAATGGGATTTTAAAAACCACTTGACAAATTAAAAAGAGGCAAAAAGAAAAAAAAAAAGATTATAAAATAGGTAGGACAAACAGAAAACTAAAGAGATTGTAAGTATAAAGTCAAATATATTGAAGATGAAATTAAATGTAAATGCACTAAGGTAAAGAATGACAACCAGATAAAACACAAAATCTAACTATATGCTGAATGCAGAATAATACACCTTCAATATAAGGATACAGTAAGGTTGACTGTAAAGAATGGAAAAAGATATGCCAAACATTAACCGAAATTAACCAAAGAAAAGCTCATATTGCTATACTAATACCAGTCAAGGCACACTTGAAGACAAGAGGCATTCCAGGAGACAAAGAGGGTTATTTCATCAGGTTAGAGATTCAAATCACCAATAAGGTGTAACAATTATAAATGGGTATCCATCTAATAACAAAGGATCAAAATATATAAAGAAAAAATTGAGAGAACAAAAGAAACAGAAATAGCCATAATAACCGTAAAAGATATTAAGACACTTTTCTCAGTTATTGATAGAACAGGCAAACAATACAATTACTAAGATCTAGAAGACTTGATTAGCACAGTTAATAAATTTGACCCAACTGATTTTATAGAAGTGTGACCTGGTGAACTATGGAATTCATTTCCAAGTGCACATAAAGATTTATAAAAGTTAATCATACACTGAACCATGAAGCAAAGCTCAACAATTTTCAAAAAACTGAAACCACGTTCAACTACCCATGGTGAAATTAAGCTAGCCATAATAACAAAAAAATACTTTAAAAAAATCTCCTATATGTTTAGAAACTAAATACTGTAATAAAAATCTGTGACTCAAAGAAAAAATAAAAAGCAAAGATTACAAAATATTTTGAACTGATAATGAAAATACTACATATCAAAATACAGGATGTAGCTAAAGCTGTACTAATTTATAGTATAAATTCATATATTAGAAAGAAAACCCTGAAGATCAAGGCTCAATCATCCATCTCAACAATTTAGAAAAACAGCAAATTAAACCATAAAAAAGTAGAAGGAAATAAAAGCATTAGTCAATAAAATAAAAACCAAATGTGCAAGCCAGGCTCGGTGGCTCAGCCTGTAATCCCACGCCTTTGGGAGGCTGAGGTGAGTGGATTGCCTGAGCCTGCGGGTTCGAGACCCGCCTGGGCAGGCGAGACCTCATCTCTACAATAAGTCAAAAAATTAGCCGGGCATGGTAGTGCGTGGCTGTAATTCCGACTACTTGGAAGGCTGAGGCAGAAGGATCGCCGGAGCCCAGCAGGTGAGGCTGCGGTGGCCGGGAGCGGCCACTGTACTCCAGTCTGGGTGAAAGAGTGAGACTCTAACTCAAAAAAAAATAAAACCAAATGTGCAATAAAAAAATCAATAAAGCTAAAAATTGGGAAGCAGTAAAGACCCGTAAATCATGATAAACTTATCTTGAGATAATCAAGAATAAAACAGAGATGGTACAAAAAACCATTATCAAAAGGTAAAAAGGGTCATCATACGGCTCCTACAGATATAAAAAAAGTCATAGGAGGATACTACATACAATTTTATAGAAATAACACTTAGAAATTTATGAAAGAACCAAGTCTTAGAAAAACAGAATTTACACAGAGGAAGAAGAAAATCTGAATAATCCAATATATATATAAAAGAAGACTGCAGAAAAGTCTTTAAATATGGATTCAAAGAAAACTCCAGGCTCAGATGCTTCCCTGATGAATTCTACCAAATAAAACACTTAAGGAAGAAAGAACATCTACTGTACAGAAACTGTTTCCAAGAAAGAGAAAAAGGGAGAAGACTTTCCAACACATTTACAAGGCTAGCATATCCTTGATGTTAAAAACACATAAAGACTTTACTGGAAAGGAAAAATACAGGCCAATCACTCACTCTGATTGCCAAAGAGTAAAAAAAAAAAAAAAAACCAAAAAAACCCCAAAACCAAACCAAACCAAACCAAACAAAAAATACCCATGCTCAGAACTCACTGTCAAATATTCTCATTTTAACGAATCCGAGGGACCTGGTTTTAGTTTTTTATCATTCTTAAAAACTCCTCAGGTGATTCTAATGTGTAATGTGGGTCTAGGGCCTATGTCATAGGGTGAAATGAGGCCATGAAACAAAAGCAAACTAAGTTAGTGATTTTAATATCAAATAAAACAGAATTTATGTAAAAAATCTATAATGCACAAAGAAATATAAATATTAGCCAACAGAAGGATATAATGATCATGTACATATTGCTGCCAACAAGTACTGACAGAAATACAGGGAGAAATAAAAAAATCAACAATTATAGGTAGATGTTTTAACATGCATCACTCAGAAACTATCAAGTAGTCTAAAATTAAATGGTGCAGATTTTAATAACATAATTAATAAATTTGATCTAATAGATATAAAAATTACACCTAACATACATAGAGGATATATAATTTTAGTGCTCACACAGAATGGTCACAATTTGAATAACTGACAGACTGCCAGGACACAAAGGAAGCTTCAATAGTGTTAAAGAATCAACATCATACAGTCTATATTCCCCAACCATGACATAATGAGAGTTAAATAACAAAATGACTAAAAACAAAACAAAACAAAAAATAAAGTTTAAAAATGATAAAACACTGCTATATAATTTCAGTTAGAGAGAAATTCATAAATTATGAACAGTTAAAAGTAAAAGACAATGAAAGCACCACATGCCAAAATTTATCGAACACAACTAATTATTTAAAAACTTTCAGCTATGAATATATTTATCAGAAAAGAAGATTATGAATAAGTGAGTTAAGTGTTCAAAAGCCTGTAAAACAAAATATGTGCAATTCACTTCTAGATGTATTTCTTAACATGGTGATGTAGTTTTATAAAGTGATTGATGCTTACCAACATGCCACTAAGCCTGAGCCGTGTCTGTGACGTTAAACAATCTGGGTGAAAAGAAAAACTGTGTGAGGGAGTTTTAGCTTTATTAAGCACAATGAAAATACTTTATTTGCCTTTTCCTCAAATTACCATGTTCATTCTTAGCAAATTAATTGGGCCCTACTGATAGATACTGGGACCTTTCTCTACACAAATGCACATAAACACATTCTTTCATTCTCTCCCCTCAATTTCTCAGGATTTCTAGCTGCAAAGAAAAAGTACTCAAAGCAAGTTCTTTCCACCTATGAGCCTGTAAAATAAAAACCAAGTTATTTACTTCCAAGATACAATGGTGGCACAAGCATCGAATAAACATTCCCATTAAAAAGGGAGAATCTCTTTAGAATCATTATCTGTTTAGAATCTTATTTTTATATCTCTCTTCCTATCAACAATCCACTTTATCCAAAAGAGCTAATAATTTGGAGGAAATAAAATGTAATGGACCTATTTGATAAAAGTATGTAAAGGATCCTCAAAATACAATAGATCTTAGAACAGCTTCCTAACTATTTTATGAAAGTTCTATAAATAAGAGCATTCGAATATAATGAGGTAAGATTCAGAAGAAAGGGAGCCTAATATCACAGAGCTTACAAAGATGAAGAATAATTTGCCTGGGGTAAAAAGTGAAAAATAAAAAAAGTCATAAAGTTGTTTGTTGTTTTTTTGAGTTGGGGTCTTACTCTATCACCCATGTTGGAGTGCAGTATCATGATCATGGCCTACTGCAATCTTGACCTCCTGGGCTCAGGTGATCCTTCCATTCCAGCCTCTTGAGTAGCTGGGATGACAGGCACGTGCCACCATGCCTGGCTAAGGTTTTTATTTTTTTGTAGAGAAAGAGTTTTGCTGTGTTGCCTAGACTGGTCTTGAATTCCTGGGCTCAAACAATCCTCCCACCTCAGTCTCCCAAAGTGCTGAGATTATAGCAATCCTTTCTTAACATAGCAGCATAAAGGGTGAGAAGTGAAGTGTGGGGAAAAGACCCATGTTGAGATTAAACAAGAAAACATATTCATGAATTACAAAACTTTGTTATATTGGAACCATTTTTAACCGATCTCATTGTTAAATTCAATTACCATTAACAGTTTGTGGTTTAATATTTAGGGTATGGCATTTTCAACTTAATTTACTGAAGGAAAAGTCCTAGAACTGGAAGTGGTCATCTTCAAATACATAATTTTATGAGGCAAATGTATAAATGTTATATATACATAACATGTATACACACACACACACACACACACACACACACACACACACACACACACATATATAAAGAAAAGTCCATATTTCTAAAAAATTATTTTGAGAGTGTCCAAGGCCTTGGGAGCCCACCCCTCACCCCAGTGTGCTCAGGGGCATGAAGTCAGGGATTATTTTGAAAACTTAAGGTATAATGTCTGCCCTGCAAGGGTTCAAACATGCATGGGACCTGCTCCCCCTTCTTTTGGCCTATTTCTCTCTTTTGGAATGGGAATATTTATTTGACGCCAGTGCCACCATTGTATCTTGGAAGTAAATGACTTGTTTTTGATTTACAGGCTCATAGGTGGAAGGAACTTGCTTTGAGTCTGAGATAAGTCTCCGGATTTTTAAGTTGATGTTGGAAAGAGTTAAGATTTTTGTGGACTATTGGGAAGGGATGATTTTGCAACGTGAGGAGGATATGAAACTTGAGGGACCAGGGACAGAATGATAATAGTTATCCCCTCAAATATCATGTTGATATGTGATCCCCAATATGTAAGAAGTGGGGCCTAGTAGGAGGTCCTGGTCATGGGGGCAGATCCCCTCATGAATGGCTTGGTACTATTCTTGTAGTAATGAGTGACTTCTTGTTCTATGAGTACACATTAGAGTTGGTTGTTTAGAAGAGCCTGGCACCTCCTCTCTGAATTCTGCTTTTGTCATGTGACACTCCTGCTCTCATGCTGGCTCCCCCTTGACTTCAACCATGACAGAAAACTTTCTGAAGCCTCACCAAAAGCCAAGCAGATGCCAGCACCATGCAAAACTGTTAGCCAAATCTTTTTTTTTTATAAATTACCCAGTCGCAGGTATTTTTTTTATAGTAATGCAAAATGGATTAACACAGAAAGGTTATAGCTGTAAACAATGCTTTATTTTTGCCAACTACCAAATATATCAGTGGCTGCCTGAAAGTACAATTTATCATAAATATATTTAAGTTAAAAATGCATTTCATAAGGAATAAATTAAAAAATGAATAATTTGATAACCTATTATATATAAAATAATGGAAAAGGTAAATATACATTAAGAAAATTATAATATTGGGCATAAATTATAGTTTTGATTATTTAATAGTCAATTATAGCAGCACACTTAAAACTGTCACCTAAAATGTAAATGCCATGGTCTCTTCATCCCAACAAAATAGCAAATAAAATTACCTCCTTCTTTGGAACAAAAACTGATCAGCCAACCAATACCAGCAGCAAAAGCAGTTTGTATGGAGTTAACAAAATTTCCTTAAAAGAAAATAAAGCAAATTTTGATTACCTATTATTTGATAATGGAAAGTCTTCTAAATGATTTTTTCTTTCTAATCTCTCCCTCTTCCAATCCACTCTGAGTATTACCAGTTATCTTTCTAAAAATCTTCTTGAGCATGTCAAGTTCCTTCAATGGCTCTGTAAGTTTTTCTATCACATAAGATCAAAATTCATTATTTCATTAAGAAAAAAATTTAAATTGGCAAGTAAGGCCCCTTATGATCTGAACTTCATCCAACTATTTGGTCAGCCATATTCCTCCCCATACCACTTGACTCAATAATCCATTGTTTTTGTCAGATTCATAAAGTATTGCCAGCTCTCCTAATACACAGTGATCTCTTATTAAGGCTTAGTATTCAAACATCTTTAGCTTCAAATACTATCATTTCACAGATAGTTCAGAGTAAATAACCTGCCTAAAGTCACTTAATGAATTAAAAGCCTAAAATTAGAAGAGTTTTTAAACTTTAAAAATAAACTGATTAGGCATGAGTTTACTGCCTGAAATAGCAAGCTTAGGAGAGCAATAAAACACTTGCATTGCAAACATTTAGATGCACTCTGAATGATGTCTTTTTACTTAGCCTCATCTCATATCCATTTTCCATATCTTTATTGTTTTAGATTCTGTACAAAACATAATTAGTTTGCCAAATGCCTTCTATTCAACAGAGATCAGAATAAATGAGTCAATCCCTTCTAAGAAGATGGAAAAAGATACTTTAAAGTCTCAATATTATTACCAAAATGTTAATACTGCCATTAAATACATAAAACGTCAATTTCAAAGTACCTTGAAAATCAAGCAAATTAAAAGAATTACCTGTCCATAGTTCTGTCACTGTACTTCTAACATGCTGCATTGCGAAACTCACTAAGCTCTCCTTTGATCTGTCTCCATGATATTTCACTGCAGCCTATTGAATTTTTATAAAAAGAGACACATCTTTTACTTTTTCTTTTAAAAACTCACTAAAAGTAGTACCAAATACATTTGACTTTACATTATTTTGAATAGTGCAATAAAGTTCTGTTTCTTAACAGTACAGCATATTTCTAAATAATATATTCATAATCTTGACAAAAACATTTTAATAATACTATTTATAATAGTTTCAATAGAGTTTCTTCGATAGAAATGGGGGAGGATGGCTGGGCACGGTGGCTCAAGCCTATAATCCCAGCACTTGGGGAGTACAAGGTGAGGAGACTGCCTGAGCCCACAGGTTAGAGTATAGCCTGGGCAGCTAGGCGAGACCTCGTCTCTACAATAAATCAAAAAATTAGCTGGGCATGGAAGTATGCACCTGTAGTTCCAGCTACTTGGAAGGCTGAGGTAGAAGGATCACCTGAGCCCTGGAGGTCGAGAGGAAGATATCAGAGCTTTATAATCAATGAGACAATACTTGTAAAACACTTTATAAACCACCATGTATAATATGCATACTGGATAAGTAATTTTTCTTAAGACAGAAAATGAAATATCAAACACTTAAGTCTGAAAACAGCCAAGTCAACATAATGACATCAGGAAATATTTATAAGACAATTCAAAATGTTTATTATCACTATGGCCTAGTTGGATGGCATCTAAAATAAGACTTAAAAACCAAAACACTCTACAAATTAACATACTGTATTTTCTCTAGTATTTCATTTATTACATAGTTTCATGAGTTTAAAAAAATTCTAACTTTATCCCTTACCATTCCAGACCTAAACATGAAAAGGCTGGGATAGCTGTTGACTCCTTTCATTCGGCAAAGCATTCTATCATCACCACAGTTAACAGCTCCAATTCGAAGTAATCCATCCACTTCTTTAGCAAAGTCTCTCCACTATGAGAGGAAAAGAAAGTACTGACGCATTCCTCTGATAAGATTATTTTTCTTTTCTTGAGTACATGTCAAACTATATATTTTTAAAGGAGTATATTTTTTATCAAATAAAACCACAGATATTTAAAAGTATTTCATAATTATTGCTGTTGGTCCAATTACTAGTCATAGAAAAAAAATCCAACATATTAAAAAAGTACAAATAACAGATCAATTAGAAATAAAACTAATACCCAGAATGTGAAAAATACATACTGTGGGAGCCAAATCATGGCAGTGTGAACATCCTGGAGAGTAGAAATTTACAAACCACAGTTCTCCAGAATTAACAGCAGCATCTGAAAGTACATAAAATGAAAACATCTAAGAATTATTTACTAAAGGTTCAAGCATATTTTTGTTAAAAAAAAAACAACAAAACTTTTTGTTGAGACCAGAATGGAAAAAAAAATAGTTAGTCATAAGTGTTTCATACTGCCTTTATCATTTTCTGTGCAATTTTTCTATAACAAGAAGTATTTCAAATGATAAACCAATGATAATTTTCTTAACTCTCCTAAGCCCATACTTGAATAAGAAGAGACTTAAACTAAATGATAAATATGGCCATAAAGCTCTAAAATGAGATAGCATAAGAAAACAACAGCCAAAACAGATGCAAGATGGCGATGGAACTGGTCGAAGTGTGAGATATTCCACAAAAGCTAATGTCCATAAAGACTCTCTGCACGAGTGGGTATGTGCCGGTGAGTGAGTGAACATCCCTCTGAAGGGAGACTTGGGTTCATGCACCTGGTGCTCTCCTCTGGAGGTGACTGCAACCCACCACTGCCCTGATGTTGGAGACTCCAGGGCACAGGATAATCTGCCATTCCCAGGGCTCTCTTGAGAGGAGACAGCAAAGAACAGCTGCCCCTCACCACTGGGCACCCGGCATCACCTGCAGCAGTAGACCAGCAGGAGTCCCAGGAATTGTGGAAATGGCAAGGTGTGGAAATCTGGAACTCAGCCCTGCTGATGGGGAGGAGATGCCGAATGGTACCATCTTCTCTGTCTTGAAACAGGCATTGCTCTGCCCAGCTCAGGCCAGTCTACAACCTGCAACCCAGAGGCTATCCCCTCATCAGACTTGGAGAGACAGATCACCCTCCCCACACTAGAACAGGCACAGACATGTCAGATCTGAGTTGGGAGACATGACAGCAGCGACAGCAGCAGACAAGTCGGATGAGTCTGGATCTGATCCATCCTCCTCCCACAGTAGCCCACTGGGCATCTGACCCATGCTGAGAGAATCCCTATCAGTCTGCACTGAGAGCAGAGGGGATGGGTTGAAGATCAGAGCTGCTCCTTAATGCAGCAGTGGCAGCTGAAAGGGACTTGGAGTTACAGAAATGGCTACAGAGCAAGTATTTTTGATTTTTTTTTGCTTTAGTTTTTTTTCCTTCTCTCTTTATGTTTTTGCTTTTGTTTTTGTACTTGCTTTGTTTCTGTTATTTTAATGTTTTATTATTAGGAGTTTCTGTTTGTGTAGGGGTAGTTTTGAAGGCAAGTACATCAAAAGGGTTTTTTTTTGTCTTTGCTTTTTTTTGGTCTTTGTTTCTCTGTTTATTCATTAGTCAGTACGTGGATCTGTTTTCCTTCTTCTTCTTCTCTCTCTCCACCTTCCTTTCATCTTCCTTCTTCCTTTTTCTATTCTTTCCCTTTTTCTTACCTCATTTTGCTTTCGGGGGCAAACATACACCCCAAGTGCATGGAGAGATTGTTAAGTGGTGGGAAGTGGGTTCCAGGGGGCCCACACACCTATCAGTGGGTACTGGGATCTGAAGATATCTTCCAAACATCAGTTTCCCCATTAATTAAATCTCAAAACTGCAAAAAGCACAGCCCCCCAACCCCAGTCCAACTTCAAAACAGAACAAAGCCAGAGGATCTACATAAGGAAGGAGACTGAACAAACAGAAGTAAAAGCTATCTCCCCATTACTGAACAAAAGAATTAAAGAAGTATAAAAAAATAGGGGGAGCAAAACATACACAAATGAAGAAAAAAACAAAGGAAGAATATGGGTCTCACACAGATCCCTGGGAGATCAACTGGGAATACAGACTTTGGAAGTCAAACAATGAAGAGCCTCAAGAATGACTGGTCTCAAAACCCAAACCCAGATATCAAGATATTAATAGAAGAATAAATAGAAATGAGGAGAGACAAAAGGAAAGAATTAAGGAGTTGATAACCAAGATAACTGTAATAAAGAATATAGTAAATGAAATAAATAACAAACTGATAAACATGGAAAGCATAATTAACCAAGCAGAAGAAAGAATCTCAGAGCTTGAGGACCAAACTAAGGAACAAACCCAAACAGCTAAAAACATAGAAAAAGCCAGCTTAAAAAAAAGAACAAAGCCTCCAAGAAATGTGTGAATATATCAAGAGGTCGAACATAAGATTAATTGGAATCCCTGAGGTAAATAGAGAGACAGAGACCACCCTGGAACAAACATTCCATGCAATTATCCAAGAAAACGTCCCTCATCTCATCAGAGATGAGATCATTCAAACACAAGAGATTCAGACAACCTCCAAAAAACAACAAATGAGAAGACCAGCTCCTAGACACAGTAATTTGCTTATACAAAGTAGTTGTAAAAGACAAAATCCTAAAGGCAGTGAGAGAGAAAAGTCAGACTACCTACCGGGGAAGACCAATTAGATTAGCAGCATACTTACCCACAGAAACACTTTAGGCTAGGAGAGATTGGAGTCCAATTTTCCAAGTTCTCAAAGATAAATAATTTCAACCAAGAATTACCCACACAGCTAAGCTAAGTTTCATCAGCAATGGAAAATCAAAATCCTTCCCATACGTTCAATCTCTGAGGTTTACACTGCCTCAAGACCAGCTCTACAAGAAACACTTAAACTCTATAAGAACCTCATGACAGGGATAAACTCTCACATTTCAATCATTAGCTTGAATGTGGACTAAATGCACTACCGAAAAGACACAGAATGGCAAAATGAATAAAATATCATTATGAAAAACTATACTGTCTCCAAGAGACTCATCTCAGCAAAAAGGACACTTACAGACTCAAAGTAAGAGGATGGAAAACACATTTTCAGGTGAACAGAACACAAAAGAAAGCAACAGTTGCAATCTTAATATCAGACAAAATACCCTTTAAGCTATCAAAAATTTAAAAAGATACAGAAGGTCACTAAATAATGATGACTGGTTCAACACGTCAACAAGAAATATCCATACTAAACATATAAGCACCTAACACAGGAGTACCAATGTTCATAAAGCAGTTTCTAGGTAAACTTTAAAAAGATATTGACTCTAACACTATCATAGCTGTGGACTTAAATACCCAACTCACAACCCTAGACAGATCATCAAGACTAAAAATCAACAAGGAGATCCGGAACCTCAACATGACACTTGACCAATTGGACTTAACTGATACCTACCAAGCACTCCACCCAACAACTATGGAATATACATTCTACTCATCACCACATGGATTGTACTCTAAGACCAACCACATCCTCGGTCATAAATCAAGCATAAACAAATTTCTTAAGACTGGAATATTGCCATGTACCTTCTCAGACCACAGTGGAATAAAAATAAAAATCAACACCAATAAAGTTCCCCCAAAACCCACAAAGACGTGGATGCTAAACAGCATAATGTTGAACAACCGTTGGGTCAAAAAGGAAATCAAAACAGAAATAAAAAGTATCCTGGAAACAAAGGAAAACAAAGAAACATCTTAGCAAACTCTGGGATGTCATGAAAGCAGTACGAAGAGGGGAATTCATATCTCTACAAAACATGAAGCCTAACAAATAACCTAAGGAAGCTGGAAAAGCAAGGTCACCAAAATCCTAACTGCAGCAAAAGAATCCAGATTGTCAAAGTAAAAGTCCAAATTCGGGACACAGAACACAAAAATATAATACAAAAAAAAAAAAAAAAAAATCAACGAACAAAAAGCTGGTTCTTTGAAAAGATAAGCAAGATTAATAAATCCTTAGCTAGACTGATCAAGAAAAAAAGAGAAAAAGCCCAAAGAAACACAATCAGAAATGCAAAAGATGAAGTCACAGCTGACCCTGAAGAAATACAAAGAATTATCAGAGATTACTATACACACTTGTATGGAAACAAACTTGAAAACCTAAAGGAAACAGAGAACTTTCTGACATCACACAACCTCCCCAGGTTGAAACAAGAAGAAACCAAGAGCCTAAATAGACCAATAATAACAGGAAGTCAACTATGTCATATGAAAATTAACTACAAAAATAAGCCCTGGACCAGATGGCTCTCCAGCAGAATTCTACAAAACATATAAAGAGGAGCTGATACCAATCCCATTGAAAATAATCCAGGCAATTGAGAAAGATGGAACTCTCCCCAAATCATTTTATGAAGCTAACATCACACTGATACTCAAGCCGGGTAAAGATCCAACAAAGAAAGAGAACTACAGGCCAATATCCTAGATGAGCATAGACGCTAAAATTCTCAAGATTTTAGCAAATTGGATCCAACAACACATCTCAAATATCATCTACCATGACCAAGTAGGCTTCATCCATTGGATGCAGGGCTGGTTCAACATTCGCAAGACTATAAATGTAATAAAATACATCAACAGTTGTAAAGAGGAAAAAACCCACACGATTATATCATTATATATGGAAAAAGCTTTCAGTAAAATCCAGCATGGCTTCTTGATAAAAACCCTTGAATATCTAGGCATAGATGGAACATACCCACAGCCAACATACTGCTAACAGACAGAAATTGAAACCATTTCCCTTGAAAACCAGAACAAGATAAGGATTCCTACTGTCATCTTTCTGTTCAACATACCATTGGAAGTCCAAGCTAGAGCAATCAGACAAGAGAAGAAAATCAGGACTATCCAAATAGGAAAAGAGGAAGTTAAGTTATCCCTTTTGCAGATGACATGACTCTGTACCTCAAAAACCCAAGAGAATCTGTCAAACATCTCCTTGTACTGATTAAGGACTTTGGCAAAGTCTCCAGGTACAAAATAAATGAGCATAAGACAGTCACATTCCTATACACCATCAATAAGCAAACAGAAACCCAAATAAAAAGCACAATCCATTTCACAACAGTCATACACACAAAAGAAATACTGTGGCATCTTTCTTTTTTTTTTTGAGTTGGAGTCTCATTCTGTCGCCCAGACTGGAGTGCAGTGGCCACTCCCGGCCACCGCAGCCTCGACCTGCTGGGCTCCGGCGATCCTTCCGCCTCAGCCTTCCAAGTAGCCAGAATTACAGG